TTAGTCTGCTGAAGTGGTTTGGCTGTTCGCTGGTGTGAATAGCAGAGCCAGAACACGGTAAACAGTGTGAGCTGTTGGAGGCAGACGGCATCAGGGGGCTCCCTGTCTCACTCTCTCACTCACACTCTCTCTCTCTCACTCTCACTCACTCTCCCTCACTCACTCTCACTCTCTCTCTCACTCACTCTCCCTCTCTCAGTTCATTAGCCCTTAATGTGACCGAACACCGTTGGTCTGGTCCTTCACTGAGATGAGGGCTGGAATTAAAGATTTGCGTTTGATTCCATTGTTTTATCAGCATCGTTTCAGGCCTCAGTGGTAACTGTGTGTTTACCGTATCTGAAATCTTGGTGTGGAGAAGCGGAAATAGATTATCAGGACAAACGGATAAGTGTGAAAATAGCACGGTGTCACGGTAGAGAAGAGATGTAAAAACGTGTGTGAATCTGTTTGAGGAGGTGTCAAAATTAGAATCAGCAAAGTACGTGGTGTGAAAAAGTTTTGCTCCCTTCCTGATTTCTTATTCTTTCACACTTAAATGTTTCAGATCACAAAGATAACACAAGTAAACACAAAATGCAGTTTATAAATGAAGATCTTTATTATTAAGGGAAAAAGAATCCAAACCTACAGGGCCCTGTGTGAAAAAGTCATTGCCCCCTAAACCTAATAACTGGTTGGGCCACCTTTAGCAGCAACAACTGCAATCAAGCGTTTGTGATAACTGGCAATGAGTCTTTTACAGCGCTGTGGAGGAATTTGAGCTGTTGGAGGCAGACGTCATCGAGGGGCTCCCTGTCTCACTCTCTCACTCTAACTCTCTCACTCTCTCCCTCACTCACTCTCCCTGCAGAATTGTTGTAATTCAGCCACATTGGAGGGTTTTCGAGCATTAACTGCCTTTTTAAGGTCATGCCACAGCATCTCAATCGGATTCAGGTCAGGACTTTGACTAGGCCACTCCAAAGTCTTAATTTTGTTTTTCTTAAGCCAGAGGTGAACTTGCTGGTGTGCTTTGGATCATTGTCCTGCTGCAGAACCCAAGTGCGCTTCAGCTTGAGGTCATGAACAGGTGGCCAGACATTCTCCTTCAGGATTTTTTGGTAGACAGCAGAATTCATGGTTCCATTTACCACAGCAAGTCTTCCAGGTCCTGAAGCAGCAAAACAGCCCCAGACCATCACACTACCACCACCATATTTTACTGTTGGTATGATGTTCCTTTTCTGAAATGCTGTGTTGCTTCTGTGCCAGAAGTAACGGGACATACACTTTCCAAAAAGCTCAGCTTTTGTCTCGTCAGTCCACAGAGTATTCTCCCAAAAGTCTTGGGGATCATCAAGATGTTTTCTGGCAAAAGATGAGCCTTTATGTTCTTTTTGCTCAGCAGTGGTTTTCGTCTTGGAACTCTGCCATGCAGGCCATTTTTGCCCAGTCTCTTTCTTATGGTGGGGTCATGAACACCGACCTTAACTGAGGCAAGTGAGGCCTGCAGTTCTTTGGGTGTTGTTGTGGGGCCTTTTGTGACCTCTTGGATGTGTCGCCGCTGCACTCTTGGGGTAATTTTGGTCGGCCGGCCACTCCTGGGAAGGTTCACCACTGTTCCATGTTTTTGCCATTTGCGGATAATGGCTCTCACTGTGGTTCGCTGGAGTCCCAAAGCTTTAGAAATGGCTTTATAACCTTTTCCAGACTGATAGATCTCAATTACTTTGTTTCTCATTTGTTCCTGAATTTCTTCGGATCGCAGCATGATGTCTAGCTTTTGAGGATCTTTTGGTCTACTTCACTTTGTCAGGCAGGTCCTATTTAAGTGATTTCTTGATTGAGAACAGGTGTGACAGTAATCAGGCCAAACACTTTTTCACACCACTGTAAGTAATTCAGCCTTGCAGAGATGTTTGGACGCCGCTCGTCATGTTATGTGTTTTTGTTGATTTTCTAATTGCAAATATGTAAATGTGTCTGCCTCCAAGGACTAAACGTAAATATGGCCCATTTCTACAAATTTTAGTGCACAATTTCTGATTATTATCTGATTTGAAATATTGGAAGCAAAAAAGAAAATCAACTAAAATAAAATGAGGCGTGTGCTGCTTATTTTTTTTTTATATGCTACATTTTAGGGCTTTTTTTAACATATTAAATTTAGCATATAAATAAATAGTAATTGAGCTCTACATTTTGCAGAAATGCCCCATATTTAAGGTTAAATGTGTGAGACGCTGTTCGCTGTAGAGGGTAATTTAATGTGTTTCACTTGGAAAATCAATAAAACCCATAAATTGACCAGGGGTCCCCAAACTTTGGAAAAAGACTGTACATATCAATCAGTCAGTCATGAATAAATCACTGAAATACATGACGACGTTTCTCAGTTAATGAATGACAGTAACATGTAGTGAAGAGAGTGTGTGTGTGTGTGTGTGTGTGTGTGTGTGTGTGTGTGTGTGTGTGTACCGACACACTTCATTAAGTGCACCAACCTTGTATCTACAGTCTTTCTCCAGTTTATCATTTTTTACCCTGTTCTTCAGTGGTCAGGACCCCCATGGACCCTCACAGAGCAGGTACTATTTGGGTGGTGGATCATTCTCAGCACTGCAGTAACACTGACGTGATGGTGGTGTGTTAGTGTGTGTTGTGCTGGTATGAGTGGATCAGACACAGCAGTGCTGCTGGAGTTTTTAAACACTGTGTCCACTCACTGTCCACTCTATTAGACACTCCTACCTTGTCGGTCCACCTTGTAGATGTAAAGTCAGAGACGATAGCTCATCTGCTGCGGCACAGTTTGTGTCGGTCATCCTCTAGTCCTTCATCAGTGGTCACAGGACGCTGCCCACAGGACGCTTTTGGCTGGATATTTTTGGTTGGTGGACTATTCTCAGTCCAGCAGTGACACTGAGGTGTTTAAAAACTCCAACAGCACTGCTGTGTCTGATCCACTCAGACCAGCGCAACACACACTAACACACCACCACCACGTCAGTGTTACTGCAGTGCTGAGAATGATCCACCACCCAAATAGTACCTGCTCTGTGAGGGTCCATGGGGGTCCTGACCACTGAAGAACAGGGTAAAAGGGGGCTAACAAAGTATCAGAGAAACAGATGAACTACAGTCTGTAACTGTAGAACTACAAAGTGCACATATATAGTAAGTGGAGCTGATAAAATGGACAATGAGCGTATAAACAAGGAGGTGGTCGTAATGTTATGCCTGATCGGGGTATGTGTGTGTGTGTGTGTGTGTGTGTGTGTGTGTGTGTTTGATTACATCATAATGATTTAATTATGCAGAAAATTTTTAAAAATCTATAGAATTCCAATTTAACAGAATTGGAATTGTTTAATCTTTTAAGAGTCCAGTATTTAAATTTACATACATGAATAATTATGTACGTATTTGGTTGCCCTATTTTTTGTATGTTCATCATTTATCACATTTCACATTATTGCAATGTCCAGCAACTTCATTGCCCATCGCACTTTTTGTCCTAATACTTTTGCATACACACTGTTTCTATTTATTCAGTAATTATTCCCCCCCCCTCGGTGGTGTTGGTGCACAGGTTGCCGTGGTGTCTCCTGAGTGTTCAGCCTGCCGGACTTGCGGTTTTCTCCCCAGTGTTGCTCTTTCGTCCAGAACTCTCTCTCTCTCTCTCTGGAAGCTTCCTGTGGAGCAGTGCAGTCGTGGGGAGCAGCTGTGACTCACTTTGCGCTCCCTAAGCAATGCACTCCTCTCCAGCTGTCATCTGCACTCTGTCCCAGCTGCTGCCCGGCGCGTTAACCCACTTCCCTAAAAAAAAAAACAAAAAAACAAATAAGAGACAGAAATAAACAAAACAGGCTGAGTGCGCTGGGACCAGGCCGAGCCCGGGCTGGGACGCCGTCAGCACCGTCCTGGTCCAGTCTGGAACTAGCTGTGCTGAGCGCAGCCTCAGGAGACTGATATTACCGTCCCCCTTTCTTTGTTTTTTTTTTTTGTTTTTTTTTTTGGGTTTTAAATCAGCACATTTCCAAAACGTGGTATTGTCAGTGCTGGACAAAGTGTTGTTTATACTCATTATTATCATGAAACAGTACTGATTTTTTCATTCCACATTAATGATAGATAACAAGGACTTAATCTGGCAGAAGATTTTAAATGAAGAAAGAAACGAACCAAATTAATCCAGTATGAATCTGCCATGTCCGTAATTTTTACAAGTCTGCTAAGTAATAATTCCAAAGTGAATTATCTTATATAATTCACGGAACTCGGAGCTCAGTAATGGTAGTCCTGTTGAATTCACCATTTCAGTAATAACAAAACTGGCACCTCCATTTTTTTTGGAAGGACCTGAAGGACCTGCAGACGAAACAAACAGTGTAAGGTAGCTTAATTTGACTCAGTCCCTTAATTCTCAAGTTAGTGACAAGACTACTGTAATCCACAAAAATCCAGGGTGTATTTCCTCCCATATGCTTAGATAATGCTTATCCGCTTCACCTATTGTAAATGAGCTCGAGCCCAGAGAATGCGGCAGTGTTAATTCTTTGCATTGTGGAATTTTAGCTTGCTTTTGTGGATGCAGCGTCAAACTGTGTTCACAGACAGTGGTTTCTGAAAGTGTTCCTGAGCTCATGCAGTGAGAGTGAGGATGATATCCATGTCAAAGAATTGTTTCACTCATTTCTTTACCTTCACACCAAGTTGCAGAAACCTACAGTCAGTTTTTGCCTCGTTTTTGTATTCTGCTTTGTAAATAATAATCTCACTTCCTTTCCTAGATTTTATTTATTTCTTATCAACATCCCTCCATTTCTTCTTTATTCACGAGGCACAATTTCATACTAGCAAAACATTAGAATCATATTAACGATGCAGTGATATCCATGTTATTACACTTAGTTTCATTTCTTTTCCTTGGGGCTAGATTTTCTCATGCAGTGTTGACACGGCTAAATGTACTTTGCCTAAAATGCCCTTTTTGCTTTTTCCTTCCTTTTCTTCAGGAACATCAAAAATAATCAAGCTTTTAGAGGAACCGGCAGAGTATGCTGACCCCCAGAGAGGGAAGAGTCCAGTCAACAGTACTCTGATCCCCGTCAAAGGCATCACCAACCTGGGAAACACCTGCTTCTTCAATGCGGTCATGCAGGTAAACATGCATGAAAAATGAGTCCATTACTATATTGAAACTCACTGAGAACTGAAGAAGCAAGATCTGATACACCAGGTCAGTCAGTAATCTTTAGAATAAATGTTCCTAAATAGTGTTACATATTTAGAGTTTACACATTTAAACAAGAAAACAAGCAAAAAAAAAAGTTCCAGACCTTCTCAAGTGTTGGGCAGTCAGAAGAAAATGAATATGATCAAATTTTAATGTGATGCATTGAAAGACGCTGTATGGGGATCAGTCCATGTGAAATCGCAGCAGGTGTCCAATGTCTTTATTTCATAAATATGAAGTTTTTAATGTTGAAGCTTTAATACACAGACATGTTTGATATGAAAAATCGTTTGACCGTGTGCCAAAAGAAACTCTGGATTAAAAATCAAGCCGTATCACGTCGAGCATGCATGTCTCTGTTTTCTGCTTTGGTAGTTAAACAGACCTTAAACTGAAGAATAATTGCTGAATATATCATGCGTCTAGTCACTGTAATTCAAAAGTTAGATGACTTTTTCATAGCACTTATTTTAATGGAGAAATTAAGGCCGCACTCACTTTCTCGGAAACAAATGAAGATACAAGACTAAAATTTTGCATAGTGCCTATTGGGGAATAATGATATTAATTCCTGAAAGTATTAAGCCAAAGTAAGATGATCAGTCAGGAACTTTCTCTGAAATCTGGTGATTTAAGGTGGATTTACTGGTTCTCTTATTCTGGACCCAGATTCTGAAGGCACAGAACCTGAGAGAAGATTATCCAGAAAGTCGTCTTATGTCCAGAGATGTAGAGAAAGTCCATTTATGCATTTAGCAAGACATGAAGGACAGATATATTTATTTCTTCAAGTTGTGGACTTTCTGCACTGTGTGGTCAGAGTAATAAAGGTTTATTATAGTTAAAGAACTATACGACAAAAACACCATATTTTATAAATTGTAGAGGCAAAATGAGTCACAATGAAGTCAGAAAGGAAAAATTTTTAGATGAGATGGAAAAGCTCAAGGTAACAATAAAAAAATAGAAGACTAACTTCAGAGTCCGTGTCTATAGTGACATTTACACTGAAAGCTGGAATATACTGGGGTAAAGACGTGTGGAGTCGCATGTGAGGATACAAAGTTCAAATGATCAACTTTGAATGCAGTAGATCACCACAGCCGAGATGCTATTCATGATAACACACGACTGTTCTGTCGCTTTTATAAAGCGGTTCTGCAAAAAGAATAAAAATAAAGCAAAGAAGCCTTGGATATTGTATCAGGTGTGTTTTGATGCTTGATGATTCCTCTTCCTGAACACAGTAGCATCGCTTTGCATTACACATTATGTTTCTGTAACTTTCTTTCTCATCTCTTTTGGAATTTCTGTTGATCGTGGGAAAGTGTGCTTCTAGGTGAGACGTTTTAGCCGCCGGCTTCACATTGCAGGAAATATTCTATAAGTGATGTTTGGATTCATCATGACTGACCGTGATCAAGCCAGGGTGTGTCTCATTTAATTGATCCCAGTTGTTAACTATGTTTGGGTAACTGGTTGGTAGGTAAGTAAAGGGGGTGCAAGGATATCGTGTTACACACCGGGACAGATGGTGCTGCATAATGTTTTTCCACTTAATAAATGAAATGATCAAAAAGTATTTTGTGTTAACTTGGGTTTCTTTGTTTTATGTGAAGATGTGAAACAGTGAAGTGTGACATAAGCAGAAATAGAGAAACTGTGATGCTGAACATCAGGAGTGTAACGTTTGTGTCTGAAAAGGAATTTGACTTGAATTTCATACAGAACCAAAGGTGTAAGCTGGTAATAAGCTCAACTGTAGCTGTCTTTTATATTTAACTCTATTCTTTGTCTTTACATGTTTTTGTTTTGTAGAATCTTTCTCAGACGCACATGCTCAATGACCTCATCCAGGAAGTGAAGGAGAAAGGACACAAACTGAAGATCTGTCCCCCATCGGAGACCAACCTGGTATGTCCAGCGTTCTGGCGTCTCCTACATCCTGCTGCTTGTCATCTGGCCTCATAGTTTCTTAGACACCGGAGGAATGAATGGCCTTTGGCATATCTGTTTGATCCGTCTCACGTCGGAGTGCATAATTGCTTAACAACCTGAAAAAATGCTTGATTTGCGGTTTAGTATCCAGAGGTGTTATTAAGATCATCAATAATTCAGCGACTGAACACGTTATCTTAGGAAAATAATCACACTACCAATCACATCTGTTTGCCATCTTAACAAAACGAAGACGTTTGGCTTATTTCACATTTTATTCTTTCCAGTCGTTGTATTTTTATTAGAACAAAGTTTGATCCATAGGGGGAGCAGTTAATTTCAAACTTTGCCTATTAACACAGTCATTGCCTTATGGAACTCTGAATGCTGTCGTTTTATTGGCTTCCCACTGAACTATGTGCACGGATTAGGTGCTGCTTTATGCAAATGAAATGTAAATGAGGCACTAGAAGGCTGACGTCACACACACAAGCTGATTCATCATCTGTGCTCAAATCTCTGTTTATTTCTACGTTGTACGAAGTTTCATGAGTCTGACCCAGAGTAGTTCATAGATCATTAAAGGCAATCTGCTCTCTTTTCACACAGCTTTGATGAATATGGGCAATTGTAGTTTGTGACCATGACTACAGTTAAAAATAAGTTTAGAAACTGCCTTTAATGAATGTTCAGAGCTCATCAAGCTTCGTGTCAGTGTAGACGTTGTAATGAGCTGCTAAAGCAGTTATGAGTGCATTTTGTTTTGCTTGTACTTAGATGTGCATGTCATGTGTTTGTTCAGGGGCCACTGACGGTAACTCTGCCTGGTCCTGAACCCCTGACCTCGGCCATGTTCCTGTTCCTCCACAGCATGAAGGAGCCTGGGAAAGGGCCGGTCTCCCCAAAAATCCTCTTCAGCCAACTCTGCCAGAAGTAAGAAAGCACTGTGGGTTCATAACAGGATTCATAGAGCGCTGGGTGATGTGACCATGGAGATTTTATCTCTATGAATTGAGGAATTGGGGACAGGCCTCCAAACCTAAGCCCTATACGGGCTGGATTAGTTTGACCTAGAGAGGTGCTGTAATTTTAGTGATGACAAACAAACTCTGATTTTAATCCAGTCTGAGTCTGTCATGGCCATAGTTTCTGCAGGTCAGTTAAGTAATCATGATTAGTTCTAGATCACTAGATCAGGTACTGGATGGAGCTCCGTCACTCCAGAGAACACAGTTCCACTGCTCCGCAGCCCAATGCTGGGGGCCTTTATACCCCTCTAGCTGATGCTTGCCGTTGGGCATGGTGACCTTAAGCTCATGTGCAGCTGCTCCACAGCGTCCCGTTCTTTTGGCATTACTTCAAGTAAAATGCATGTGCGCTTAACATCCCAGGTGGCTCCTCATGAAGCTATTTGAGAGAATATCAAGTGTGTGCAAAGCTGTATGGATGCTAATAAGAGCTACTGAAGGATCTAAAGTAGTACAGATGAAGAAAAAACATCAATGAGTAGATGTGCTCAAACGTTTGACTGCTACTGTAGTTGTGTAACTCTGTAAAACACCGCTCGGCCTCACGGAGGAAAGTTCAGCATCGTTCTTTACCTTTACGCTCCACCCAGATCATTACCGTGGTAACCCTCTACATGGTTGAAAAAGCACAACGTTGGCCAGGCATTAGCAGTCATGTCTGCCCTGGGCTGGACTGGACTAAAGGTGCTGCTGACCGGCTGCTGCCTGCTAGCACCTGGCACACACCTGCCCAAATGTGTTTGTGTCACTTTATTCACACCTACATTGAGACTCACCTGCAGCTGATGGCTGAAGAGGCTGAGATTTAAAGTCAAATATCCACAAAGAATTAGCAAAAAGCTCTTTAATGTTAACATATTGTTGTAGGTACTGTAGTACAAATTCAGATTTCAAAAATAGGCTAGAACTTCTGATGGCTAATCTAAAATTATTTGCCCTTGTCTGATTTTTGATGCTTTTCTCAGGGTTTATTTGGGCTCTTTTTTGGGTGCTTGCAGTCACTTGGCTCACATCATAGAAAAAAAAAAATTCTGAACTTTTTGAAATAAGAGTTTAATTTGGTTTGTAAACAGCGTTAAAGTTTCAAACGTACTGTTCCCTACCGAGTCCATACATCCCATGTGTGAAAGCTCAGCTGCTAAATATTTTTTGAAGTCATTGCCCTTGTGATGTTATAAAAACCAATTTATTTATATGTACATCTGCCTGTTCTGCCTACAGCCGTTTAGCTCCACCCACTCACACTGAAGTTATAAGGAGTGTTTCAGTCTGCACAGCGTTTTGAATGAGGCACAATACAAGGCAGCCAATCAGAGGTCGATTACATAGATCAGCTTTAAAGGCACAGTAACACCTTGTTTTATTTTAAGGAATAAAGAAATAAAAAATGGACCTACAAAATGAATTTAGACTGATTTTGGTACATAAACACACACAGATGACATCAGCAGACCAGAAAAAAGTAACATCCAAGAAATATGTATGTACTTTTGTAAGAAACTCTGGATGAGAGTGTGTTAAATGCTGTAATTGTAAATGTATTTAAACGTCTCTTTTTTTCTATGTAGTAAATAGTCATAAACAACCACAAACTTCAATACTGTCTAATGAACACAGGTGTTTACAGTAATAACTTAAAAAATTAGTGTATTACCAAAAGATTCGATGATTTATGTGATTCACTTTGAAGAGTTTTATTGCATTAGTTAACGTTAAGGCCTGTAAGCTGAAGAACGCAGCTGCAGTGAACTGTGTTTGTGTTTCACTGTTGATCAGCTGCTGCTCAAACGTTTTGAATGTGTCAGAGAGCGAAGGGAACGTTTTCCCCTTGTTTTCAATTACCATTCAGATTATTTCGAACTGTTAGATTTCAACACTTGATTGAATGTGTGTTTCATATTTTTTTTCGGACAGTTTCAGCCAGAAATCGCTAATTAGCACATTTCCAGTACATTTTATCAGTCAAAGTTGTTATATAAATGACATTGTTTACTCTTTAATACGCACACAGGCATTCAAATGCAGCGTTACCTGACATACCTAATAACACTTATAGTCTCTTTTTGAATACACTGAGCTGACGGTAGCCACTGCCCAGACAGAGTGAGTGTGCTGGCGCTGCGTGCTGGTGCCATCACACATGGTTTAAAACACCCACTGCCACCTGAGTTTGGTCCCTTTTACCCAGCTAGCATGTAAATAGCCAATAGATGGTGAGGTTGGTCTGCAGTGGGTTTAGAAAGCGCAGGTTGGGTCACTGAACTTCAGCATGGCTGGTTGGTCGTCTTTGTGTGTTCTAGGCTGCTCTTTCTGAGTGCATGGATGACTGGACCACTTGTGCTTTTTGAACATGGTGAATGGCTGGTTGGTTGTGTGTGTGTGTGTGTGTGTTTGTGTGTGTGTGCGCGTGTTTGGACATGGTTAAATGCGACAGTGGTGTACGTGCATGTGTGTATGCATGGTCTCCTCCTCACCTGGTGCCACCTCAGCCTCAAGCGACGAGGCATCAGCTTCAGTGTACCTGACACAGACTCTCACAGAGCTCACTGTAGCCTCTCTGTGTCTGATTTGCTGGAATGAAATATTGGAATATTCTCTCTTTTCACCTATAAAATATGTTGCATAGCTAAAAACAGTAGCAGTAGCCGTCTTGAAGCCTGAATTCTGTTGGTACTTGTTTCATGTTTGTAGAAACAGTGTGTGATGCAGTGTCAGAAACCATATAAGCAAGTTTATTTGTGATTACATAAACCTACACTACGTAAGATTTGTGGGTTTGGAGACCTCTCTGGTGGAAATGTGTAATTGCATGTGTGAGGAAGAACATTTTGTAACGTGGGTTGTGCTTTGGACCCCCTTTTTGACCATGATGGAGGATCCGAGATGTGGATGCCAAGGAACTTGAAGCCAGATGTGCTGTACCTCTGAAGCCAGATGTGCTGTTACAGGATCCTATTAGGAGCGACTGATCTTCAAACCTGTAGGGCTGAACCACCCCAACCCTGATGGTTGTGTGTGTCGTCTCTAGCATCGTCGCCAGTGTTGTTCAGCGCTGGTGCCAGGTTGTTTACGTTACCCCTCTGTCTGTTACTGCGCGAACTGATACCCACACAGCTCTGAGCCCACAGCAGCTCAGAAATCCTGGAGCAATTAAGCATTTATCAATACATAAATTCATAAATTGTATTGATAAATTGTGTGTGTGTGTGTGTGTGTGTGTGTATATATATATATATATATATATATATATATATATATATATATATATATATTATTAAATGCTTTTTCACAGCATCTCTTTTTTATTAAAACAAAAACTGAAAGATCTGAAACTCTGCTGACAGACTTTAAATAAGCGCGTTGGGCTCAGTGATCATTCTGCCAGTGTTCTGTGAAGTTCGTGCAGCAGTTACAGCTCAGTGTATTCTAAAAAATTAAAAAGGTCATTTGTAGTTAAATTGAGTCGGTGTGAGAACAGAGATTTAGACTCCTGGTGCATGTATGCACGCGCACACACACACAAACACACACGTGTGCAGGCAGCTGGAGGTTGTTGGCCTCGTTTCTCCAAGTCCAGACCAACCGGCAACTGGACTAGTCAGAGCAGGACCATCGCCAGACCCGGTCCAGCAGGGACACACCACACACTCCTGACCACACACTGCTTCTGGTGCCAGTGAAGGTCACAGCCTGTGGTCAAACACACACAAAGCACACGCTCACACACCCTACATACACCGCCCCCCCCCAACACACACACACACACACACACACACTGGTGTGTACGCTTTCAAATGTCTCTTCTTATGTTTTGTTTCATTATTTCTGACTGGTGGCTCTTTCAGCACAAGCAGAGAAATTCTTGACATAGAAGAGAAGATATTATTATTTAAAAATCATTTGAATTTGATGAAAAGTTGCTTGTCCAGTCGTGTTTCTCAGAACCGCAAAAAAAAAGAAAAAATCTTTACATTTTTTAAACGTCCAAACAAAAGATGAAACAGCCATTAAGCACATTAAGCAGTGGTAAAATGCACAAACATTCTTAAATTAGGGGTGAAAAACTGAACTGGGACTTCCCTAAACAATGTAAATTCAGTGTATAGCAGCAATAATTAAAGACTGCTGAGGGAAAGAAAGGAGGACGTGGCTTCAGGACTCAGGAAAGTGTGAGTATGTTTCGCTCTTTTTGTGTTTCTTTGTGTATTTTTAGGCCTCAGATTTGTCAATTTTCCCCCCAGAAATCATCCTGCAATCCTGAATGGCTGTTCTTTGAAAGCCGTGGATTGTATTATATTTTTCTTTAATAGAGAGATTACAGTCTACTGCTGTTGTTCCTCCTGGCCGGTGTGTTCCTGCTATGTACAGTAGGAGAAAAGAGAAAGAATAGCAGTAGGTCATCATGGACTGAACTCTTTCTCTCTCTCTCTCTCTCTCTCTCGCTCTCGCTCTCTTGTCTCTCATTCACTTTCAGTACAAAAGACATAATACGTGCGGACCCTGTGTTTTGCTATCCTGATTTCACTTGTGATATTTGATGAAGGGCCTGAAAGAAAAAGAATAACACACACGACTTTGTGGAGAGCTGTATTATCCTGGAAGCTGCAGTTGCCGCTAGCGATAACAAAAGCTAGTTGTAGGTGGAGTAGAGGTTTGGGTGGAGAAGCCGAACAGTGTACTCAGTATACTATAATATATAACTATATTATATTATAGTACTTAGTGTACTATAATATAATATAGTTATGTAGTAGCATAATATATATGCCCAGGACCCCATGGACCCTCACAGAGCAGGTACTATTTGGGTGGTGGATCATTCTCAGCACTGCAGTAACACTGACGTGGTGGTGGTGTATTAGTGTGTGTTGCGCTGGTCTGAGTGGATCAGACACAGCAGTGCTG